TCAATATATACAACCACACAATCAAGTACACAGGAGACTTTAAAATATCACTGTATACATATCGACCGCTATTTAGAGTTTATCTATCACATAGAAATAAACCATAACCTACCTACACCGAAGAACCGAAGTAGAGCAAGCTACTTCTCCAATACTTTTCCTTTCCTCAATGCCTCCGACTTTTCCAATCTATCAAGCATATATGCATAATTTATAAGTTTACAAGCCTATAAATACCCATATTATTTTATGTTTAGTCCACACTCAAATCTCACCTAATTCTATTATGAATTTCCTATTGTGCAAACCTATGGGTAAGTCTTAATTCCTCCTATTAGCATATCTTTAATGAAATTCAAATAATTAAATACATTTAATATTTAATTACTTATCTCAATATATCAAAACTTTATTTCTTATATAGTATCTCTCTATCAAACTTTGCCTCATCACACAAGCTATACACATATAGCATATGATGGATAACTAAACCAATCCAACACACAGATTGTACCTACATGTTAACTTACAATAGCTTTTTTCAATTTCCTACTACACCTTCTTTATACGTTTCCCATCTTCCATATAACCAACACCATAACGTTATAATAACTTCGCAGCCATCAAACCAATTTCTACCCCCACTAAAACATTACTCATAACCATATTATATTTCCTCAAATCCAATTGGTCATTGGTGATACATAATTCATATGAACGACACACTTCTAACTTTATTCTATTTATATATGTATTCTAATTTAACTGTTACTCTTTTCCTCCCCTATTCAACAACTAATGCCACCCATAATAAATTAGTATCTTAATCCTTTAATACATACTACTAATTTATTCATTAATCTCTATATTGGTCAATAATTATCCACCATTATACATTAATCTCTATATTCGATTCAAATGTCACTTGTTAATAAAATAGTTTAAATCCTCACTTTTTTTAAAAAATTTATGTTGCACTATTTAGTTTCTTTAATAATCATTAGGAAGTCAAAAGTTAATCAAAAATTAATTAATAACCAAGATCTTATCCCCCAATCCCAGAAATACTAACATTAAATACTTCTCCCAATTTCTTTATATACTTCCTATAATCCAATTAATAAAACCCTTTAATACAATAATAATAAAGAAATTAATGGCAACCAACTATAAGTATTTATAACATAAATTTGGAATTACCTTGGATTTTACCTGTAGTCTTATTATAAAACTGGTCGGCTGCGCTACGAACAAGAAGAAGAGGGCATGCCGCCTATCTTTAATATTAAAATAATAACAACCCTTATTTCTTTAACTACTTAATTTATTTTCATTATTAAATATATATATGGGGATAAATTATGGGTTATTAAATATTAAATCCTACTAATTTTAATGTTATATTCTTTAACCACCAACTAAATAAGTTATTAAAACTATCTCATTATTTCTATAATTGTAGTTATGAATAGTCCAAAATACCTATTTAAATTATATTGAAAGAGTATATTATGAAATAAAAAGCTCTAATATATAAAACAACTAAATGAGTCATTACATTAGATACCAATTTACCCATCGTTCGTCTTGGAACGATTAAAAAAACGAGGACGAGAAAGAGTACCTGATTCATTAAAAAGATGTGGATATTTTTCATGCATATCAACCTCACTCTCCCAAGTGGACTCTTCAACTGACCGATTCTTCCACTGAACCTTGATAGAGGAAATTTATTTTTTATCTCAATTTGCGGACCTCTCTATCTAGAATAGCAATAGGCTCCTCCTCATAAGACATATTCTCATCAAGAAGAACTGAATCCCAATGAATAATATAATTTCCATCAACATGGTATTTATTCAGCATAGACACATGAAATACCGAGTGCACTCTTGAAAACCTTGGAGGCAATGGCAATTCATAGGCCACTCCCCCACGCGCTGCAGAACTTCAAATGGACCAATATACCTCAGACTAAGCTAACCTGGCTTACCAAACCTCATAACACCTTTCATGGGTGAAACCTCCAGCAAGACTTGTTCACCCTCCATAAAATTCAAGTCCCTAACCTTTCGATCTGCATATTTCTTCTGCCTGCTCTGAGCTACTAAAAGCTTCTCTTGAATAAATTTTACTTTATCTAACGATACCCTCAAAAGATCGGCACCTCAATGTCTCACCTCAAATGCATCAAACCAACCAATGGGAGACCTACATCTCCTCCTTTACAGTGCCTCAAATGCGGCGATATCAATACTTGAGTGATAGCTATTATTGTATGAACACTCTGTTAAGGATAAGAATTTATCCCAATGACCATAAAAATCTATTAGACACGCACGAAGCATATCCTCCAACACTTGAATTGTTTGCTCAGACTGCCCATTAGTCTGAGGGTGAAATGCAGTACTAAAATCTAGTACCTAATTCAACATGTAGGGTCTTCCAAAACTTAGAAGTAAATTGCGTACCTCTATCTAATATGATGGAAAGTGGAACTCCACGTAATAGAACAATTTCCGAGATATAGAGTTTGGCTAACTTCTCTGCATTGTAAGTCATCTTGACCGGAATGAAATGAGCAGTCTTAGTTAACCTGTCAACAATTACCCAAATAGAATCCAACTTATCCAATGTCTTCAGAAGACCAACTACAAAATCCATTGCAATTCTTTCCCACTTCCATTCAGGAATGGGCATTCTCTGAAGTGTCCCTCCAAGCCTCTGGTGTACATACTTTACCTACTGACAATTCGGGCATTGGGCAACAAAATCAACAATCTCACGCTTCATTCTACTCCACCAAAAATGTTGCTTTAGATCACGATACATCTTGGTTGCACCAGGATGTATAGAATACCTTTAACTATGAGCCTTTTTAAGAATACTGTGAATCAAATCATCCACACGGGGCACACATACCCTTCCCTTAATATTCAAGATGTCTTCTTTATCAATTTCTGCTTCTTTATCCTCTCCTCGCAATACCATGTCTTGAATTTGGCTCAGCTTTTCATCAGTAAACTGATTTCCCTTAATCTTGTCAAGAAAAGAAGATCTTGCCTCCACACAGGCCAAAAATCCTCCTTTCTCCAGTACTTCCTGCCTCATAAAGTCATTAGCCAGTCTGAAACTCTCTAGCAAATGGGAGTCTAGAAACCTATAAGTGGGCTAAACTACCCATGCTCCCTGGTTTTCTACATAAAGCATCTGCCACAATATTAGCTTTTCCTGTGTGATACAAAATAGTAGTATCATAGTCTTTCATTAGTTCCATCCACCTCGTCTGCCTCAAATTCAAATCTTTCTGAGTAAAGACATATTGTAAACTACGATGATCTGTATAAACTTCACACTTGACCCCATATAGGTAATGTCTCCATTGCTTTAATGCAAATACAACTGCAGCCAACTCCAAACCATGGGTCGGATAGTTATGTTCATGCAATTTTAATTGCCTTGAAGCAAAAGCAATTAAATTCCTCTCCTGCATTAGCACTGCACCCAAACCAGAATAAAATGCATCACACTAAACAATAAATATCTGAACTTCCACGGGTAAGGTATGAATTAGTACAGTAGTCAACAAGGTCTTGAGTTTCTGGAAGCTTTCTTCACATTCGTCCGACCATACAAATGGAACATCCTGCTTAGTCAAATTTGTCAGCTGGGAAGCAATAGAAGAAAATCCATTGACAAATTGACGGTAGTAGCTAGCTAAACCAACAAAGCTCCTTACCTCTGAAACATTAGTAGGTCTTACCCAACTCTTCACTACTTCAATCTTAGAAAAATCCACCATCACTTCATCCATAGAAACCACGCGCCACAAGAAGGACACTGAACCTAGCCAAAACTCAAACTTGGAGAATTCGGCATAAAGCCTTTTCTCCCTCAACAACTCCAATACAACTCTCAAATGCTCCTCATGTTCTTTCCTTCTCTTTGAGTATATCAGTATATCATCAATAAATCCATTAACAAAAAGATCCAGATATGGCTTAAAAATCCCGTTCATTTGGCTCATGAAAGCAGCAGGGGCATTCGTAAGCCCAAAAGACATTACTAAGAATTCATAATGCCCATACCTTGTTCAAAAAGAAGTCATTGGCACATCTGTTGCCCGTATTTTCAGTTAATGATAACCGGATCTCAAATCAATTTTAGAGAAGACACAAGCACCTTGTAACTGATAGAACAAATCATCAATGCGTGGAATGGGATACTTGTTCTTAATAGTTACCTTATTCAGTTGCCTGTAGTCTATGGACATTCGGAAACTTCCATCTTTCTTCTTCACAAATAAACAGGATAACCCTAATGTGATGCACTCGGTCTAATAAAACCTTTACCTAACAATTCCTGAAGTTGGGCCTTGAACTCCCTTAACTCAGCTAGATCCATTCTACAAAGGGGAATGGAAATGGGGCGAGTCCCTGGGTCCAGATCAATACCAAAATCAATATCCCTATCCGGTGGCATACCAGGAATGTCTGCAAGAAACACGTCCAGAAAATCACGGACTATCGAAAAAGACTCAATCGAAGGTACTTTAGAAGTATCATCCTGAGATGTGCCAGAAAGCTAAACAACCCTTACTCACCATCCTCTTAGCACGAAGAAAAGAGATAATACGAATTGGAGTTGAAATATAGTCACCCTCCCACACTAACGAATCTGTCCCAGGCTTGGCCAATGTCACAGTTTTAGCATTACAATCTAATATTGCAAAATTTGGAGAAAGACAACTCATACCCAGAATTACATTAAAATCAACCATCTATAGAATAATCAAATCTACATAAGTATTGCTCCCCTCAAAAGTCACAAGGCAAGACCTATACACCTTCTCAACTATTACAGACTCACCCACAGGAGTAGAGACACGAATAGGCATGTCAAGCAAATCACAACAGAAATAAAGACCTCTAGAAAATGAGGAAGATACATAAGAAAATGTGGATCCAGGATCACACAATACAGAAGCCATGCAATCACAGACCAAATTAGTACGTGTGATAACAACATCTGATGTCTCTGCTTCAGACCTCCAGGGGAAAACATAACAATGGGCCCTATCACCTGTCTGTCCATTGCCCCTACCAAGCTGCGCTGTAGTAGTTCCAACTTACCAGCCAACCCGAGTGAATTGGTGACCACCATTACCTTGGCCACCACATTCCTCTAGAATGACGACCTCTATCATGACCACCTCTACCTCTAACTACTGGGGGTCTGTAACTCTGTTTTGGACAATATTTCCTATTATGTCCCTCTTCTCAACATCCATAACAATTCCTGGAGTCAAGTATAGGTCTCTGTGAAAATGACGAAGTCTAGAGGTAACCTCCAAACTCAGAAAATGGCTGACTGGTCTGCGATGGACCCCCAGCTAAAGCCTGCAATGAAGACTGAATAGGACGGGCTCGGTAACCTCTTGAACTCTGCCCTCTGGTGTAAGAACCACTAAAATAAACTCCCTTACGGAACTTTATAAATGTCGACGTCGTGGTGAAGTCGTCTGACTTCACCCCCTCTACCTCTATCACAAAATCAACCACTTCCTGAAAGGATTTTGCTGCAGCCGCTACCTGTAAGGTTGGAATCTATAGATCCAGCCTCAATCCTTTCACAAAGAGGCGAATCATCTCTTGTGGACTGAAGCAAAGCTTAGTGGCATACCCGGATAGTGCACGAAACTTTGGCTCATAAGCAGCAACATACATCCTTCCTTGCTCTAGGCTCAGGAACTCATCTCTCCTCCTATCCCTCAATGTCCGGGGTATATACTTCTCCATAAATAAGTTAGAAAATGATGCCCAAGTCATAGGTGGTGCCTTTTATGGTTGACACTCAACATATGACTGCCACCACATTTTGGCATCCCCCTGAAGTTGGTAGGTCAAAAATTCAACACCGAATTATTCTACTATGTCCATCTTATGTAGCAGGTCATGACAATAAACCAGAAAATCATAGGCATCTTCAGATTCAACATTCTTGAAGACTAGAGGTTTCAACTTTAAGAACTTAATGAAAAGTTCATGCTGATCACCTATCATTATAGACCTGTAGTCAATCGAGGACACTTGCCTACTTTCGATGATGCATCCATGCGGGGAGCCAGAACAGCTGCATGTTGTACTCCCTGAACCTTAGGAGCTGGTGCAGAAAACACTGGAGGTGTCTGACCCTGATCAGATAACCTACTAAGATAAGCAAGAACCTGATTAATCGTCTCTGGGTAGGATCGGGTGGTACTTCTTTATCCTGAACCTGCTCATTTTCCCCTTCTTCACCCTCTCTCACTACCTCATTAGTCGGTGGAGGAGTCACTGCTCTATTCCTAGCTGGACCAGGTGTTTGTCCTCTGCCTCTAGTGGTCGTCCTCCTGCGACCCCTACCACGGCCTCTTGCCACTGCTCCTCCTCGAGTTACAGCCCCAATGGTTGTCTTAGACACACCCTGTCTTGCCGGTGTTGGCACAGTTGTTGCTCTAGTTCTAATCATCTGCGAAATAGAGTGAGAAGGTCAGATACGAATTTGTATCACCCAGATACCAATTGGATCCAAGTAATAGCACGAAAGAAAGAAAGAATAAAGTTTTCCTAAAGTCCTATAGCCTCTAGAAGAAAAGTAAAGGCGTCCCTATACCGTTCCTCAAGACTCTACTAGACTTTTCCTTGTGTGATGAGACCAACAAACCTAGCCCTCTGATACCAAGTTTGTCACGACCCAAAATGATTCGTGAGTGGCACCCACACTTACCTCCTGAGGTGGGCGAACCAACACATCTAAACCCTAACATATACCAATAGTTCAACTATAAATAATATAAATTATGCGGAAGATCCAAAAGATACTAAGCAACCAATTTAAATATGTTTCTAAAGTTTAATACTCATCATCCCGAAATCTGATAGTCATCACATCAAGGACATCAATTTCCAAATTACCAAGTCTAAGAGTGTTTAAGAAAATCAAAATAAGCAAAAATATTGTCCATGTCCGAAATTCAAAGACATCAAGACGTGAATGAGAAAATCCTACACAAGCTAGAATTAATAGCTCACCCTGAACTCTGATGCGCTGGAGTATACCTAGAGCTGAGGGCGAGTTGAGGTCAATGGTACACTTGCTGCACTCCACAAAAGAACAGAGAAGAAAATACAAGTAGGGGTCAGTACAAGGAAAACATACTGAGTAGGTATCATCGGTCAAATCAAAATAGAAATCAATATATATTGAATAATAATATAAAATTAACTACAATACTTAACAGGTGGCAAGAAACAAACACATGAACCATTGACAACAACACCATAATAGGTACACCATCAAGCACACCTATGAAGATTCATGTCTCCACATCATACTCATTTGGAAAACAAGTTCTTTGAAAATAAGTATCTTTAGTTACTTCAAGATTCCATTCCTTTAATGTTATTGTGTCGGAACGTGACACTCCGATCCCATATATCTTGTCGGAACATGACACTCCGATCCCATAATACCGTGTCAGAACGTGACACTCTAATCCAATATCTCATTATTTTATTTCATCAAGCCTTCTTTATTTAAGGCGTCATTTTAATAGACAGGGTTCAAGATTTGAAATTCAACAGTCTCATAATTTTAGGCTAACTACAAACCACACAATCAAAACATACAACCACACAATCAAGTACATAGGAGACTTTAATATATCACTCTTTACATATCGATCGCTATTTAGAGTTTATCTATCACATAGAAATAAACCATAACCTACCTCCACCGAAGAACCGAAGTTAAGCAAGCTACTTATCCAATACTTTTCCTTTCCTCAATGCCTCTGACTTTTCCTATCAAGCATATATGCATAATTTTTAAGTTACTCATATTATTTTATGTCTAGTCCACACTCAAAACTCACCTAATTCTATCATTAATTTCCTAAAGTTCAAACCTATGAGTAAGTCTTAATTCCTCCTATTAGCATATCTTTAATGAAATTCAAATAATTAAATACATTTAGTATTCAATTACTTATCTCAATATATCAAAACTTTATTTATTATATAATATCTCACTATCAAACTTCAACTCATCACACATGCCATACACATATAGCATATGATGGATAACTAAACCAATCCAACACACAGATTGTACCTACATGTTAACTTAAAATAGCTTATTTCAATTTTCTACCACTACTTCTTTATACGTTTCCCATCTTCAATATAGCCAACACCATAATGTTATAATAACTTCACAGCTATCAAACCAATTTCTACCCCCACTAAAACATTACTCATAGCCATATTATATTCCCTCAAATCCAATTGGTTATTGGTGATACATAATTCATATTAACAGCACACTTCTAACTTTATTCTATTTATATATGTATTCTAATTTAACCGTTATTCTTTTCCTCCCCTATACAACAATTGATGCCACCCATAATAAATTAGTATCTTAATCCATTAATACATACTACTAATTTATTCATTAATCTCTATATTGGTCAATAATTATCCACCATTATACATTAACTTGTTAACATCCACATTGTCAAGATAAGTTTTCAATCAATCTCTTTTCAACCAAGTACGTATCCACTTTCGATTCAAATGTCACTTGTTAATAAAATAGTTTAAATCCTCACTTTTTTTTTAAATTTATGTTGCACTATTTAGTTTCTTTAATAATCATTAGGAAGTCAAAAGGTAATGAAAAATTAATTAGTAACCAAGATCTTATCCCCCAATCCCAGAAATACTAACATTGAATACTTCTCCCAATTTCTTTATATACTTCCTATAATCCAATTAATAAAACCCTTTAACACAATAATAATAAAGAAATTAATGGCAACCAACTATAAGTATTTATAACATAAATTTGGAATTACCTTGGATTTTACCTGTAGTCTTGTTATCAAACTGGTCGGCGGCGCTACGAACAAGAAGAAGAGGGCATGCCGCCTATATTTAATATTAAAATAATAACAACCCTTATTTCTTTAACTAATTATTTTATTTTCATAATTAAATATATATATGGGGATACGTTATGGGTTATTAAATATTAAGTCCTACTAATTTTAATGTTATACTCTTTAACCACCAACTAAATAAGTTATTAAAACTATCCCATAATTTCTATAATTGTAGTTATGAATTGTCCAAAATACCTATTTAATTTATATTGAAAGGTTATATTATGAAATAAAAAGCTCTAATACTTAAACAACTAAATGGGTCGTTACACTCAACCTCTAATTTTTTACTTTTAAATGAAGTTGTTAAAAAACGATATGAATATCATATTGAAATAAATGTTTCTTAGGGTTTGGACATGAGATGTGAAATCATGATTTGATATCAAAATATTATATGGTGTCGCATCGTTAAATCATATTTCTCCATATATTTTTTTTATGACTAAATGTTTTGTGATCAGACACTTTTAAATAAACATAATTTTATAAATATTCACTGGTAATAGTTAGTTATCCTTTAATTTAATTCTTTCACATGGTAGAATAATTTCTTCACGTCGAGCATGAGTCCCTTTTTCAAAAAAATCAAACGATGTTGTATGAATATAAAGTTATAGGTCACGTGTTGCAATAAATATATGAAAATTAGGGTTTGAAATTAAAGTCATACTTTTTTTTTGGAGAATTTAGTCTCAAATCTCATGTCCAATTATTAATTTGAAAGCAAAATATCGTAGCGTATGTCCAAATAAATCTTATAATAAAAATGTTGTGTGTGAAAGATAATTTCACCTTTGTTTTGAGTGCTCAATTAGAAGATATATAGTAGAAATAGGGGATTATGTCTTCCAAGAAGTAAAATTTTGGACATGTGATTCCATATCGCAATTTGAAATCATGAGATGAAATCAACGTTTAGATATGCAGTTTCACACTGATTTCATAAAATGAAATCTCAAATTTTCCAAAAATGACTATTGAAAAATTTTAAAATTCAAATATTGCCCAAGAAGTTAAAATTTTAAGAGAAGAACCCAAATTAAATATACTAACCATATATTTCATATGTATATAAAATATATAATTCATATAATTACTTTTAAAATTGTTAATATCTTATACAACAATTATTTTTATCAACATAAAATTCATTATTACTTTTAATCTATTCCTACTCTACCAATTCTTTATTTTAATCAACTTTATTTACAAAACAAATTTACTCACAAATGACTCAAAGTAACAATGTTGATTCAGATTCTGGGTCATATAATAGCAAAATGCAAGTTCAACGTGAGAAGAATTTTCGTGATATGTAGGTAAATTATATTAAATTCTAGACACTACAACTTATATTTACTTTATTTTTAAATGAAATAATGTTTGGTGAGTAAATGTTCAAATATTTTAAAATAGCTTCGTGATAGTATGTTATGTGATATTAGTAGCTTTTGCTAATTTTATAAGATTATATAGAGAAGTGACATAATTTAATAGTTTACAAGTTATAGGATCTTATTATAGGAAAACAAGCAACATAAAATGTCCAAACAAAACTTCAACTTCATCTCATAGTATCAAATCATTATGTATAACTTAAATATTCTGATATGTATAAATCTTTTCGAACGTTTTATACTAATATTATTAATGCAAAATTACTAAAATTTATTCACTTGTACTATGTTGGGGTATATACTATTAACCATGTGTTAAGAAATAATATTTATTAGAGAATAATTTTTTGCTAAAATTCAATAGATCATATATTCGTTTATGGCGTCTATTTACTATATAGTAGATAATTTAGTGTGTAGAGTTTTAGCTTATACACAGAGAATTAAATAATCAGTTCTTGTAAGTAGAAAGATTTTGGTTTGCAATCTAGGATGGAAATTGGACATGCCATCGGGTACGATATTAGCACAAGATTATATGTACTTTGTTCGGGTTATGGGAAGATTATAGTTCCAGCTTCTTGTGCTAGTTTATTTTGTATGTATTGAACGGGACCAAGTAGAGATAGTGTTTTAGACTGACTGACAAAAACATATTCTCTAAACTATTAAATGTACTAATATTCTTAATCCTGATATAACTATTATGATTTGTATATATTAATTATCGTTTTGATTTATTAAAAGGTGCGATTGTGAGATGGGTCAATATGTCTTGTAAGTTGGAGGATAATAATATATATTGGTGAAAAGTAAATTGTATTTACGGGAATTGAACAAAGAAATAATAAATAAGTCAATTGTAAATTCATACGCACAAGAACATCTACCGGTTATGTCAGAATTGACGTCCCATTTCACTTAAGTAGTGGGAGAAACGTTACTAGACGTAAGAAAACTACCACATCAAGTAGCGGGAGTGATGTTGAACAAATTAAAAGAACACTTCATGAGAAGTTGTTAATATTTCATTATCAAAGATTTTTAAGAAAATAATAAAACTCAAGAACATGAAAGTGTGATTATAATAGTAGTACTTATTCATAGTGAGAGAATCATAACGAATATTGAATTGTTTGGTATACTTGAAAGAACTTTTATGATAGAGATCCTAAAAAAAGTACACTCTGGGAGGGTTTCATGATAAGGACTCTCAAGATCTAGTACAAAATCGATTTGTTACCACGAAGCACTACAAGACAAAATTGCATGAGAAAATAGCTTGGTAAATTTTCTTTCGATAAGAAATAAAGGATGCCTGCAAAAATGGTAAATGCATAGTAAAGAGTCTATCTGGGAGATTGCTAGGATATATACTGTTAATCATGTGTTTTGACGTAGTATTTTAACAATATTCAAGATTAAATATCTAAGTTGGAGACTGTTAGGGTATATACTATTAACCATGCATTTGGATATAGTACATTTTAACAATTATGATGGTTAAAAGTATCAGTGGGAGATTGTTGGAATAAATACTATTAACAATGTGTTAAGAAATAATATTTATTAGAGAATAAATATTTGCTAAAATTCAATAGATCATATATTCGTTTATTGTGTCTATTTACTTATATAGTAGATAATTTGATGTGTAGAATTTTAGCTTATACACAGCGGATTAAATCATCGGTTCTTATAAGTATAAAGTTTTTGATTCGCAATCTAGGATGGAATTTGGACATGCCATCGAGTGCGATTGTAGACAAGATTATATGTAATTTGTCTTGATTATGGGAACGGTATAGTTCCAACTTCTTGTGCTAATAGATTTTCTATGTATTGAACGGGACCGAGTAGAGAGATTTTTGGTTAGACTGACTGAAAAAAACATATTCTCTAAACTATTAAATGTACTAATATCTTTAATCCTGGTATAACTATTATGATCTGTATATATTAAATATCGTTTTGATTTATTAAAAAGTGAGATTCTGAGATGGGTCAATATGTCTTGTAGTTTGGAGGATAATAATATTTATTGGTGAAATAATAATTTAGTTGATGGAATCATATCTCGTTATAGAGATTGATTGATAATCTTTTTGAGAAATTTATAAGCTTTCATCGTGTCAAATCTTTCAAGTGGATTTATGAATCCGACACATGAAATAAATTAAGTAGTGCTCTAAATGAAATTAATCATTAAATTAAATTTATCAGTAATTTAATTTATTGATCTGTATTTGAAATCTTCACGTGGGGAATTATATAAGTGCTTAATGGGGAATCACGAAATAGAGGAGTGCATTTACGAATTTATAGTGGAATGATTTGTCATTTATTATGGTAAGAATAATTTAAATTAATTATTTGAAATTATTTCCATAATAGGATGCCTCGATAATTAATTATTTGGTCCCCATAATGCCCATATTTAACTAGAATTCAGAATCCTATTTCTATACAAAAAGGAAGAATAATATGGGTTTTTATAGTATTCCAGAAAAACTAGATTTTCTAGTCCTTTTTGTATTAGGAAGAAATCTCCATGTATAAGAATTCTCCTAACCAAGAAAAATGATGAATAGTTTCAATTCAATACTTGACCACCGAAGTATTTAGAGAGTTCGGATGTGACTTGGGATCACTGTAGAAGACCATATCAATTTTGTAGATTCGCTTGAAAGTTTATCTATCTTGGGGATTCGCTTGAAGGTATCCTCTCACGCTTCAAAAGGTATTTATTGAATTAAATTTTTGCATGTTTATGTGTTCTAGCATGATAATGTGTTCTAGTATAAAAGGTGTTGCTTATCTATTATTCATGTAAGCAATAAAGATCCTCATATGCTTCCGCTGTGCATATATGTATTCTAACATACTATGCATAATATCATCAGTAGATTTATTTCAATCAACCAGTTAATAAACTTTAGTATACATTATTTTAGAGAGTCTCATAACGCAACACAAAAAAGCAAAACAAACATTTCATTCTTAAATCTTTAGCCAAAAAAAATTCATGCAATGGCAAGTTCAAATTCAAATCCAAGTGGTGATATGACGATAAAATATGGGATATGCCTAAAAAATCATGCTACTAATTTTGGGGATTATTCGGTAGATGGATATCGTGAATTTGTGAAGAAGGATGATGATGGAAATAACGAAGCATATATTTGTGCTAAGTGTGGATGTTTAAGGAGTCTTCATCGGATGAATCGTCATTCATTGTATCGCCCTCCAATACTTCGATCTCGTTTCTTTAACCCACACATTCATCAACATGATGGTGAAAATGCGCCGATTATTTCTCATCATTTAATGTCCCAATTAATGCCAATTCAATACATTAGAAGGCCCATTTTCTACAATTATGACTGACCTGATAAAATCTTCTGTCCTTGAGAAATTTCTTGGTGACCTTTATTGGTGTTATTACTAAGGATGAATATTTTCTATGAAGCAATCTTTATTTTATTAGCATACAATCATGTTAATTAAGCTCTAGTATGTTTTTTTACATTAGTAAAGAAATGAAAAATTAATGTTCAATTTCTAATGTTTGTTATTTTAATGAATTGCGTGAGTCTTATTTT